AAGTCAATCCACATGTTAACTTGTCAAGATCTTTGTGTGTCCTGATCCTGCCATCCACTGTGTTCTTCATCCCACCTCGATTTCTGTCATTTGAAAACTAAATCTTTGTCATCTGAAAACTTCACAAGCTTGCCTACTATGTCTCCATACAAGACTCTGGTAAAACTGTGGAACAGATCAGGGCATGCCACCAAAGTCCTATCCAGGTTGTCACTGACCCTTTCATTGGCACCTCTAGCATTAATTTTTAATAAGTTTCAAGTTTTGTACTTATCTGTCCATGAGAATTTTACAAGGCACCTTGTCAATTTCAGAAATACCAGGTCTACAACATCTAAAAGTCCCAGAACTCTATCCCTAGTAATAACAGAAAAAGAAATGACTATTTCAAGACATAGCTGTCAGTGTTGATCTTTTAAATGTTTATAAATATTTACAAGGACGGATATTAACTAGACTTATTGTTGTGATTATTTTCCAAAATACACAAATACTGAATCTAAATTATGTCAGTTATATCTCAATAAATAAGTTGCTCCACTAAGCCATTGTCAAGTGGCAGATGGTATTTTTATTCAGTTCACTTTAAAAAAAAAATCAGAATACATGCAAAGAGTATTTTCATGGGTAAGGACCTAAGCTTTACACCCACATTTTCTGTGAATTGGGAAATGCCTGGGAAATTTATGGACTGATGGGAATGGCCTGTTAGACACTTGCTTGCACGAAGCCTTCCCAGGAGCCTTGTCAGAAGGTCAGTGACTTGGTATAACAAGACCCATCTACTCCAGAATTATGACCATGAGTCTTTGTGAACTAAAGACTCTCTTGCTCAACTAAGCAGTATTCTGGATGGAAATGAAACGTACCCCAGTGACAGAAATCATCAAGATGCATGAATTCTGTGTGCCTATAATGGCTCCATAAGAGGGGTAATTTTCTATTACAGCAACAGGTATGTTGCTTGAATTCCCTTTTAGTTCCAGAGTCTAAGGGGAGAAAGCATAGACTTCAGGTAACCATGGGTTTGAGTCCTGGCTCTAGAATTAGCTTTGCCATAGGATCTGTTTTCAGAGGACCAGTACCAATTCCCAGTGAAAAATGCTTTCTAGTAAATTCTTACAGTTTTAAAAAATAATCTGCCCTTGAATCTAGAATTACTTGCAAGTACCCAGGGCACCTGCTCTATTGCCTCTGACATCTTAGCTTTTTATTTCATAGAGTTATTTGAGATTATAGAGTCAAAGTTAAATCTCTGGGCATTTGAGTTATATTCCATTTTAGATTATTTTCTGAACTTCAGGAACCTGTTTTCCAAAGTCCTTGGCACATATATGACCTACTGAGCTTTTCCTTTGCTACTGATCACTGCATTTAAGTGTCTAAAGTAGGGAGCTTTTGTTTGGGGAATCTTGAAGAAACAGGAATTTTCTGTGAAGAGATGTGAGAGAGAAAGAAAAGAAGATAACAGAGGAATAATTAGACTCCTGGCCCAACCCCACCGAACAGGATAGAGCCTGATGTGAAACTCCAACAATTACTGTGAAAGCTCTGGGACGGGAGTCCCTGGTCGTGTGGATTGGAGTCTGCTTGCCAATGCAGGGGACGTGGGTTCAATCCCTGGTCCAGGAAAATTCCACGTGTCTCCGAGCATCTGAGCTCACGCACCGGAACTACTAAGCCCACACTCTAGAGCCTGAGGGCGGCAATTACTGAGTGTGCATGCTGCGACTGCCGACTGCCGACGCCCCTGCGCCTGGAGCCTGTGCTCCTTGGGAATGCAGAGTTACCCCGTAGAAAGCTCCTCGGCTCAGAGGGTCCTAGAGCAGAGCACTGGTGCTCAGCCACTCAGTCGTGTCTGACTGCTTTCAAACCCACGGACTGCGGCACGCCGGGCTTCCCTGTCCTTCACCAACTTGCGGAGTTTGCTCAAATTCAAGCAGAAAGACACGAGTGCATAATTTCTTCCTGGGTTCACAGTTTTCTGGGCAAGTACTTATCTCTATGATATACAGTGAGACTCTTATTCTAGCAGACTGTATTCTTTAAATTACGGTTTAATCTCATTGTGGATTCCAATCATGGGTCGCTTTTTCTCATTCGGTAATGCCCATGAGGTCATGTATACCCTGCTGCTACCGCTAAGTCTCTTCAGTCATGTCCGACTCTGCGCGACCCCATAGACAGCAGCCCACCAGGCTCCCCTGTCCCTGGGATTCTCCAGGCGAGAACACTGGAGTGGGTTGCCATTTCCTTCTCCAATGCATGAAAGTAAAAAGTGAAAGTGAAGTCGCTCAGTCGTGTCTGACTCTTCGCGACCCCATGGACTGCAGCCCACCAGGCTCCTCCATCCATGGGATTTTCCAGGCAAGAGTACTGGAGTGGGGAGCCATTGCCTTCTCCGCATGTATACCCTACTATCCTATAAAAAACACTTTATGATCCATGTTCTGAGAATGGAACTTAAACATACCAGTGCCTTGAGCATTGAGCCCCATTGATGTACTGATGTTTCATCTACGAAATAGTCTGCATCTTCATCAATTGTCAAAATGATATTTTCTACAGTAATTAGATGATGAGGTTTTTTTTTTGTAGTTAATTTAATAAATTCTCTTTGAAAAGTCTAGCTGTCATCGGGAAACATTTTCTTTGTACAAAAGTGATACTATACATTTTTATCATTCCTAATTCTTATTGTCCCAATATGTATCTCTCATTCTTTAATACCATCTACTGTTGCTGTTTTAGTCACTAAGTCAAGTCTGACTCATGTTGTGACCCCATGGACTGTGGCCCACTAAGCTCCTGCATCCATGGGATTTCCCAGACAAAAATACTGAAGTGGGTTTCCATTTCTTTGTTCAGGGGATCTTCCCAACCCAGGGATCGAATCTGAGTCTCCTGCTTTGCAGGTGGATTCTTTACTGCTGAGTCACCAGGGAAGCCCCAATGCCATCTACAGAGCTAGGTGATCATCTTTTACTGTCTTTTCTTAAAAAATTCCAAACTTTAGTGGTATTAGGCAAACACTGGCTGTATGTCAAAGTCCTTCAGCCTTCTACCAGACTTCATAGATCCCCGAGGTACCTCTTAAATTTCTGTTGATGGCATTCTTATATGCAAGGGTATCTTTTATCTCTCAGCTTCATGCTTACCCTTCTACACCCTTCTCTTTACTACAATGAAAGTGAAAATGTTAGTTGCTCAGTCGTGTCTGACTCTTTGCGATTCCCTGGACTGAAGCCTGCCAGGCTCCTCTGTCCATGGGATTCTGCAGGCAAGAATACTGGAGTGGGTTGCCATGCCCTTCTCCAGGGGGTCTTCCCAACCCAGAAATTGAACCCGGGTCTCCTGCACTGTAGGCAGATTCCTTACCATCTGAGATACCAGGGAAACTCTTACCACAGTAGTGAGAAGACTGCAAAATACATTCTGGAATTCCTCACCAGTTGGCATCCACTGGGATTCAGGAGATGGAAATCTGGGGGAAAGGATAAGGGGAATGGCTACTGCTTGCAACTGTAACAGCGGCACCATCAGCGACCATGTTAGCAAAAGTAGCAGCCAAGCCAGCGACAGTGGTGACAGCAACAGTAATAAAGTTTCAGAAAGAACACAGAAGCAAGACTAGCAGGTGAGTACCAGATGCTGGGGTGCTGTTTCGGCAGCAGTGGCCCAACAGAAGCAGCCTCTGTGGCCCAGTGTTCATGGGCTCTGGCTGAAATCATTTTTCCCTTGGACCCCCAGCTCTAGGTGCAGTAGTAGCTTAATGCAATTGCCAGCCTTTGGATTAGCTAACCTTTCTTGTTTTGCTCCCATGCAGGCCATTCCCAAACTTTTCTATTTCTTATGTTCAGTTCCCTCTCAGTCAAACGCCTAGATCTGTCTCTGTTTTCCTTACCTGGCAGGGAGTGATGCATGCTGTTATGAATCAGCATGTGTGTGTAACTGTCAGCAGATGTGGTGAGCCCTAGAAGGCATTTCATCACATCCTGGAAAAACATTCAAGGGAGACTCAACAGACAGTGTCAACTCTGCAGACAACTGATCTTTCTCTCTCAGTAGAGAATCACTTCTCCGACCTGGATCTGAGAGGTTTGGGGGTATTCACCGGCATTTATAGACTCTTGCTTATATCATGTTTATTCCCCAGAAGGTCTGCACTTAAATTATTGTGGGAAAATGCAAACTATTTCTGTGTGTTGAGTCTTTTCTCTTTTAAGCTATACAATTCATCATTTTTATCTCCCTATATTTTTCTTCCCCTTAGCCTCTGAAGAATCTTGAATTTGTGGTTTCCTTTTTTGCTGTTTCTTCTTCCATTTTCCCTTGGAATTCTTCATTTTTGCAGACAATCTGAAAGAAAGTAGTCTGTAGTCAAAACACTAGCCCAGAGGAAGTGATAAGATTGCTCTCATGAGTCAGGTACAATGGGAGGCTCACGCTGATGACGTCAGTGTGGGCAAGAATCTTGTGCCATAAGTTCTCCATCATGTGGCCTCAAGTCAAGATCAAACATGGAGATCTTGACTCCTCCAAAAACTGAGCACATTCCTCCAAAAACTGAGAATGGAACATTATCTTAACATATGGGACCACTCCATAGATTGCCACAAGTTTATGCCTGTACCTCTGTATTTAGGAATTATTCCTTCATCCTTCTGAGCAACAGGGATGGGGGTTACTGATTAGAAATCTGAGAACTACACATGTAATGGGCTGTTGCCCTGATGGATTTCTTGACCTTTAATATTCAGTCTGTCTCCAAGTATTTATCTCACCAGTGTCTGCATTGAATGCAGATATGGTAGATTTAGAAGTTGATACTTAATTAGATATAAAATTTGGGGGGAAAAAAAGATAAAAGATTAAACTGTGCAGCTGCATGTTGCCTCGAAGCAGGGAAAGGCGAGCAGCCAAATCTCCCAGCTCTTTGTTTCATCACATGATGTCGCTTGGATATCAGCTTATCAACAAACAGGACTGCACCGCCACCACCCCAGGAAGAGAGAGACCTTGCAGGAAAACTACACGGAATATGAATGCCAGCTTTTTAAAGAGGGGAGATTACAATACAGGGTAAGTTTCTTTTAAGCAAATCTGTCTTTTTGTTTCAGATGTAAGTTTTCTGGTAGATATTTACTCCCTGAGCTCTGCAAGCATTTTAAACAAACTTTATCAAGTGGAGACCACTTGATTAGGTAAGATGGATTTCCTTAGCAATAGCCCAAGGAAAGCACACATGAATTGCTGCCCTAAGAAAGATTGTCAAGTCATTTCCTGATGCTATTTGAGGAGAGAAAAAAATCTTTCCAGCTTTGAAGAATATGTATGTTCTGCTCTACAGACCTGGAAAATGGGAGGAGGGATTTGGCGGTGACTTGATTACAGGATAGAGTGAAGGCGTCTATCACCATCAATATTAAAAGAGTGTACCTTGGTTGGGATACCTTCCGGAGAGCACATGGAAGGAAAGCAGTACTGAATAAAATACAGTTTAAAGTATAAGTTTATACAGAGGAAACAAGACACACAAAGATGCCGACTGACGTTTCCCTAGTAAATTTCTCTTCTGGAAGATCTGAGCCTTAGCTCTGTAAACTTGGAACCAGAGATTTCTCACATGTTAAAATTCTTAAGTGCGTGTACTGTGGTGCTCATGCGTGCACATGTGTGTGAACATACAATAGGGTAGAGGAGAGAGGAGGAACTGGCCTAAAGTGAGAGCACCCTATTTACAAATCTCAGCTAGTCATATTATATATAGAATGGATAAACAACAAGGTCCTACTCTATAGCACGGGGAACTATACCCAACACTCTGTAACAAACCAAAATAGAAAAATACATGAAAAGGAATGTATATATGTGTACAACTGAATCACTCTGCTGTAAATCAACTATACTTCAGTAAAATGAATTTTTTAAAAATTTCAGGTAATCAAGTAAACCAATGAGGTAGACATTGTTGACAAGGGCAAAGGAGGGAAGAGAGGAGAAATGCTGGGATTTCCACTCTGGCATGTCAACCCTGCTCCAATATGTTTATTCTTTCTTGATGGTTAATTTTTAAATTATTCTATACACCTCAGATTCTAAACCCTGAATTGCGTGGAAACAAAATGAAACTTAATCATAGCAGCTGTGGCTCCTGCATTCTGTATCTTTGTCAGGTTAGAAACATGGCCAGATTTAACAGCTTCTTTTATAGTACAAGTTTGGAAAAACAGCAAATCTGAATGTGCAAGAAATGGAAAATGATGTAAAGATATATATACTGCCATGATAAATCATATTTTCAAAGGTTATTAAATGTGCTGGGAAGGTGCATAACATATAGAGGATGATCTCCCTGTTCTAATATCACAGTGGATGTACACAGGGAAAAAATAGTAAAATGAAATCAATCAAATGACAATATATTATGCACTGTTAAATTATGGATGATCTTATTTCCTCTTCTATTTTTAAATTTTCAAAAATGATACATATTACTTATAGAATCAGATAAAGTAATAAGTATTATTTAGAGTTATCAAGAAATAACTGTTAAGACCTGGTGTGGTTTTACGACCCACCTGTTCCAAATGACGCTTTTGAACTGTGGTGCTGGAGAAGACTCTTGAGAGTCCCTTGGACTGCAAGGAGATCCAACCAGTCCCTCCTAAAGGAGATCAGTCCTAGGTGTTCATTGGAAGGACTGATTTTGAAGCTGAAACTCCAATGCTTTGGCCACCTCATGCGAAGAATTGACTCATTGGAAAAGACCCTAATGCTGGGAAGGATTGGGGGCAGGAGGAGAAGGGGACAACAGAGGATGAGATGGCTGGATGGCATCACTGACTCTAGGACATGGATTTGGGTGGACTCCGGGAGTTGGTGATGGACAGGGAGGCCTGGCGTGCTGCGATTCACGGGGTCGTAAAGAGTCAGACACGACTGAGCGACTGAACTGAACTGAACTGAACTGTTCCGAATGCAGTGTAAGCAGAAAGACAAAGGACTCCGATTTATTCCCTCAGGTTCGGTCCCATGACTTCATGGCAAATAGATGGGAAAAAGTGGAATCAGTGAAAGATTTTATTTTCTTGGGCTCCAAAATGACTTGATGGTGACCCACAGCACTAAATTAAAAGACGCTTGCTCCTTGGAAGAAAAGCTATGATAAACTTAGACAACATATTAAAAAGCAGAGACAATGCTTTGCTGACAAAGGTCTGTATAGTCAAAGCTATGGTTTTTCCAATAGTCACGTAAAGATGTGAGAACTGAACCATAAAGAAGGCTGAGCACCAAAGAATTGATGCTTTCAAACTATAATGCTGGAGAAGACTCATGAGAGTCCCTTGGATAGCCAGGAGATTGAACCAGGCAATCCGAAAGGAAATCAATCCTGAATATTTACTGGAAGGACTGATACTGAAGCTGAAGCTCCAGTACTTTGGCCACCTGATGTGACGAGCCGACTCACTGGAAAAAACCCTGATGCTAGGAAATATTGAGGGCAGGAGAAGGGGGCGACAAAGAAAGAGATGTTTGTATGTCATCACCAACTCAGTGGACCTGAGTCTGAGCAAACTCTGGGAGATAGTGAAGGACTGGAAGCCTAGCCTGCTGTCATCCCTGGCTACAGCAAAGAGTCAGACATGGCTTAGCAATGGAACAAGTAAGGGATGAGAATTGGGAAAAGTGCAGAATTAAGAAGTCTGGTGAGGCCCAGTTCCATGGAAACATTTGAGAAAATGTCTTTTCCCTTGAAATAAATAGCATCTATCTGTTTGTTTACTTATTTACTTGATTGCTTACTTACTTAGGTACATCCCCCAAAATTGTTTGAACAACATGAAAATTTATGTTGCGCTTTGTTGTTCCTTCGAGGTACAGAATAAAGATGGGAGAAAAATGGAAAAGACAACAAAAGCTGTGGCATGCGCCACATATCCCTTGCATCCGAGTCCCTCGCTCTGCCTCTGACACGCCATTGTTGAAGGTACAGCATGCTATTCACAGATGGAGGGGCCTTTTCTGTCTCTTCTTCAGGGGGTGGGGGTTTCTTGGGTCCTTGTTTACCTGGCATTAGGGAGAACATAGAGCTCGACGCACACCCTCGGTGTATGTTGACAGTGTGTCTGAGAGAATGAAGGAGCACTCAGATGGTCTAATCTTACATCCGTCCCCCTTTAGGAACTCTTCCTTCCCCTCAAGGAAAGCTAAGCAATAGGGTGACAAGATCAAAAACGTCATCTGCTATCTCACGGACTTAGAGAACAAACTTATGGTTGCCAGAGGGAAAGGATGGGGGGAAGGGATAGGTAGGGTGTCTGAGATGGGCAGGTACACACTGCTGTATTTCAAATGGGTAAGCAACAAGGATCACTGCACAACACAGGGAACTCTGCTCAACATAATGTGGCAGCCTGGATGGGAGCAGAGTTTGGGGGAGAATGGGTACATGCATATGCACGGCTGAGTCCCTTCCCTGTTCACCGGAAACTATCACAACATCCTTAATGGGCTATACTACAGTATAAAAAAAAAAGTTTTATTTTAAACCCACACCTCTGTGTTCTGGGCTGTGTTGGCTATACCCCAATACAAAATAAAAAGTTTAAAATAAAATAAAATCAGGGAAAAAAAAGTATTATCTACTACTTCTCATTTAGGAAGATGGTATTCTCCTAAGGAAAAGAACTATGCTTTTTTTTTTTCCCCTTGTAAAATAAAACTATAACTTTTAAGGTTTTATCTTATATAATGGAAACTCCCATTGCACTTTGGAGCTTTGCTCTTGAAATAGCTTGCAATTTTCATGTTATATAGTTCTCAATCATTTGAAAAGGCTTAATTAGGGATCTATTATCTTCTTCAAATATATTATCTTTTAAAACATCTAATTCGGAAACTGTAAAACTGAAATAATATCTCAAAGTGTGAAGTACTTGGCTCAGCTACTTTCTCTCTGAATATATTTTTAATATCAAGTTTAAGGTCTCTAGATCTTAAAAAAAACCTGACAGATTTCAATGCCACACAAAATGTTTTAGCAGATAAAATTCACTTAGCTTATATATAATTATCTTAAGTTTATTTTTTACTACACAGTTATCAACTGGTTTTGAAATTATGTCATTGCTTTGAATTTTTTAGCCAAAGGTGAAATTATTTTGGGTTTCCCAGGTGGCATTAGTGATAAAGAACCTGCCTGCCAATGTAGAAGATATAAGAGACATGGGTTCCATCCCTGGGTTGGGAAGATCCCCTGGATAAGGAAATGGCAACTCATTCCACTATTCTTGCCTGGAGAATCCCATGGACAGAAGTACCTGGCAGGCTACAGTCTATGGGGTCACAGAGTCAGACATGACTGAGCAACTTAGTACACACACACACACACACACACGAACTTATTTTATCTTGATTTTTCTAAAACGTTGATGCCACTTTCTCTGTGTCCTCGTCTCTATATATCAGGCAGGTATATAAAAGTAACTGTAGTGCAGCCCTTCTTGTTCNGTAAAGATAATCTTTAACCTCTTAGGGTAGCATAAAAGGCTCCTGTGATCTTCCGCTGTCCCACTCTAGAGGCTTTTCCAGCTCAGACTCTATATCCTGGTTAAAGTAATTTTTTTGCAATTGCACTGAAAGTGTTAATCACTCAGTTGTGTCCGACTCTTTGTGACCCCATGGACTGTAGCCTGCCAGGCTCCTCTGTCCATGGAATTTTCCAGGCAAGAATAGTGGAGTGGCTTGCCATTTCCTTCCCCAGGGGATCTTCGCAACCCAAGGCTTGAACCCGAGTCTCCTGCACTGCAGGCAGATTCTTATCCGAGCCACCAGGTTAAAGTAAAAAAAAAAAAAAAGCCAAAAGTCTGGTTCCTAATATATTCAGATATTTTGTACCCCAGAAGAAAATCTGTACCACTTTCTCTCTCCAATCAGGCTTTCTTTTTCTTCTAGTTCAGTGGTTCCCAAATTTTACAGCACAAGTGTCAAAACCACCCGGAGGTCACCAGAGTCCTGGTCCCAACCCCCTCTCCAGTGTCTGATTCTGTAGGTCTGGTTGAGGCCCAGGAATCTGCATTTCTCAAAGATTCCTAAGCAATGCTGATGCCCTTTGAGAATCCATATTCTAGCCCCTTCAGGGACTCTCTCCTGACAAGGCAGACTCAGACGTGTTGGTCTCTTTCAGGAAGCTTCCTTGACTCCTTAACATGAGCTTATATTCCTTCTCTGTTTTCATAGCACTTTTTCACTAATGACCTTCAACACTTATCACATTACGCATCCACTCAGCTTAAGCTGAGAGCTCTGAATGGAAAGTTCTTTTACTCTCCAGAGGCCTGGCACACCTCAGGCCCTGTGCAGATTCTCAGTTTACCTTCCTTAACAAAGATTATAACAGATCAGTACACGTTGTTGTGGTTTAGTCGCTAAGTCGTGTCCGACTCTTTGTGACCCCACAGACTGCACCAGGCCAGGCCTCCCTGTCCTTCACCATCTCCTGGAGCTTGCTCAAACTCATGTCCATTGAGTCGGTGATGCCATCCAACCATCTTATCCTCTGTCATCCCCTTCTCCTCCTGCCCTCAATCTTTCCCAGCATCAGAGTTTTTTCAATGAGTCAGCTCTTTGCATCATGTGGCCAAAGTATTGGAGCTTCAGCTTCAGCATCAGATACTGAAAATCCTTGGATCTCCCTCAGCCTAAGACTGTGACCTACTTACCCAGAATCTTTTTTTTTTTTAACTCATTTTCACCATTACAGTTGCCAGTGGGAGACGGTTTAAGTAAACTAAGGGAGGTGAAAGGAAACTCATTGAGAGAGGGACAAGGGGAGGGAAACAGTGGGAGAAGCATCTTATTTCTGTGCAAGTCAGCTTTGAATACATCACACTCTGATCCACAAGTCCAGCAGCTCACCAGAGTCACCCGCTCTGCTCTGGCAGGACCTAACCCCAGGGCAGCAGCGCTATTTTTACAGCATCATGAGGATTTACAGCCCCAGGCCCCAGTGGGAGGCCCTGCAGACCCGCTACATTCACAGCCTTCAGCACCAGCAGCTGCTTGGTGAGTTTAACTGCCTGACCTGAACCAGGCACCTCAGGAAGGAGGACTCCTATGCTACAGCTGGCAGTCGGGTTTCCAGATAAATAATTCAAGAAGAATGGCCTCCTGTCAGCCTGCTGTTTTATCAACATGGTTGACAGGTCAATTTAAAAATGATTTTCTCTGACAATAAAAAGCAAGGCTTTATGGGGAAATTAAGAGGGCTTAAAGAAATTGGAGTAGGGTTTGTTATCAAATGTCAACAACTCCCTGAGATTTATGAGCACTTGATCTAGCAGAAGCGGCAATGGGCTTGGGCAGATGATCCAGGCTCAACCCACTGCTCAGCCCATCACTGGTCATGCAGACTCACTGGCTTGTTTGAGTCACAGCAATAATGCTTATGTTCATTAAGTATCTATGGTGTTTCCAACACTGTGCTATGAGCTCTACACAGAACATCTCATTTTCACCCCCACTTGACTGCTGTGGGAAACTGTAGCTCAGACAGGTTATAGGACTCGACCAAGATCACACAGGGAGTAAACATCAATGAGGAGCATCACACCAAAGATCACGCATCTTCACCCCAAGGTCTGCCATCTCTCGTCTTCCACCCACCACATGGGATTTTATGGACCAAAAAGAATGGCTGTGGAAAGCCTTCATAGATTGTAAGCAACAGTCTATGCAAAGGTAGTTATTATTAAAATCCTTTTCTTCCAGGAGATGTTCTCAGTCTCTGGCTCCTACTTATTACACTCTTCTCCTAACTCCAATGGAGACTTTCTTCTGTAAACACTCACTTGTCTTTAGCACTTCTACCTTATTAGTGGTGTTCCTATATTTGCACAAAAGGAAAGTATGGTTTTTGCAAATGATTTAAAATCAAGAACAATCAACAATAGCGTTTTCCTTCTGTGCAAATACAGGAACACCACTAATAAGGTAGAAGTGCTAAAGACAAGTGAGTGTTTACAGGAGATCTTTTATTAGCTGCCCAGATAGCTCAGTCAGTAGAGCATGAGGCTCTTAATCTCAGGGTCGTGGGTTCATGCCCCACATTGGGCAAAGTTTTGTTTCCCAGGTGGCGTTAGTGGTAAAGAACCCACCTGCCAATGCAGGAGACATAAGAGACACGGGATCAATCCCTGGTTTGGGAAGATCCCCTGGAGAAGGAAATGGCAACCTGCTCCAGTATTCTTGCCAGAGAAATCCCATAGACAGAGGAGTGTGGTGGGCTATAGGCCACAGGATTGCAAAGAGTTGGACACATGAGTAAGTTAAACAACTTGACCAGGGTCATGCAACTAGTAAATGGCAGAGCCAGAATTTAGCCGGATGCCCATGCCTGACTGAAAGCATGAGGATTATCATCTGGTAGCCTTATTTGTAGAGTAAAACTGCACAGAAGCCAATGACACCAGAAACAGAGATATGCAATGTTTAGTGCACATGAGACACTTGTCTATGTTATTAAAATAGTCTTCCAGGGATTTCCCTGGTGGTCCACTGGCTAAGACTTTGAGCTTCCAATGGAGAGGGCATGGGTTTGATCCCTGGTCTAGAAACTAAGATCATACATACCATGCAGTGGGACCAAAAAAAAAAAACCCAGATTTCCAAGTCTAACCTTCTGTGTTTCTGACTCAGAAGTTGTTTGAACTAGAGTCAGAAATCTGCATTTTTAAACAGCATTATTAGTGTGGCCTCAACCAAATGATTCTGTTGTGCAGGGTCTGCAGACTGCACTTTAAAAACACTGAGACTGAATGTATCTGTTTCTATCTGAAGAACCAAAAAAAAAAAAAAAACAGACTTCCAAGTCTAACCTTCTGTGTTTCTGACTCAGAAGTTCTTTGAACTAGAGTCAGAAATCTGCATTTTTAAACAGCATTATTAGTGTGGCCTCAACCAAATGATTCTGTTGCGCAGGGTCTGCAGACTGCACTTTAAAAACACTGAGACTGAATGTATCTGTTTCTATCTGAAGCAAGTTTGCAGTTAAAGATAAGCAACTCTTGTGAAGATTTCTCATGGCTCAAGTCCCTCTCCAAATATTTGTCTATTTGTCAATAATTACAGACTATTAATCATTTAATTAATTTATTAACTTATTGAATGAGAAATGTACCAGAAGAAAAACATACCTCATCGCCTGAAAAACTGTACAATCTGAGAATGCTAGACATAGTTGTTTCTACCATTCAAAATAGAAGGTATTTTGCGCCTATGTGGATATTTGCAGAGTTGTTTGCTTTGTAAAGCTGTTGACTTTGAAGTTTATCTCCTTTCTTCCCTCCAGGGTATATTACTCAACGGGAGGCCTTGGCCTGTGCAGCTGTACTAAGAGATTCAACCAAAAGAGCCTCAGCCAAGGCAGGTCCTCATAGAACCGTCCCCCTGAGAGCCGCGGGCAGAACAAGAACTCAGCCCTCAGCACGACCTGTGTGTGTGGTTCCACTCAGGGCCCGAAGCACAAGGCTCCCATCCCCCAGGTCCAGGGCTGTCCACAAGCTCTGAACATGTGGGCGCCCATGTTTCCCTGGCATCTAGTGAGTATTTTGTACATATCTGTTGAATAGGAATAAATAAAAGAACATCCAATACAAACCCCACACCTGGAAATAATCTCTCCCATTCACATCCATTTTACCAGCAAGAACAAGTAGAAAGGTTTAAGAGCAACAGAGCTACGAGTAAGCAAGCCTACAGTGGGAGAAGGAAAGAGTGCGATGAATGGAGAAAGTAGCGTCCACATATACACACTACTGTGTGCAAAACAGACAGCCGGTGAGGAGTCGCCGAATCACACAGGGAGCCTGGCCTGGCGCTGTGATCACCCAGATGGGAGGGCGGGAGGGAAGCTCAAGAGGAAGGGGATAAATGTACAGTTACGGCTGATTCGCACTGTATGGCAGAAACCAACACAATGTTTGGTAAAGCGAGTTTCCTCCAATTGAAAAAAGAAATTTTTTAAAGAGTAAGCAAGGCTTTCATTCCAAATATAATCTGTAGAATAAAATGACTTTTAAAGCTTTTGGAGTAAAAGCTTCCTTTGAATTAGAACATTCCAGAGAAACCCCAAGAACACTGGAAGAGCAAGGGACCAGAGGGTTCAGGTCCCCTGTGACCGGGTGGACACATTTTGCAAGCCCCCTGCTGTGCACACTGGGGTGGGGGGGGAAATAAGCAGATTGACACAGAGGGAACACTGGGCGTGCAGGGCTTCTGGACCACGTCGTCTCAGCAGTGGCTGGGCTGGGCCTTTCCATGGGCGCCTTCCTCTCGACTTCCCCATCAAACGACAGCAGTCAACCTGGCCCCAAAGCTTCTGGTCCTACCCTAACGCATTCACTTTGTATCCTTTTGAAACTTATCAACCTGCTACAGCTGGGTTCCTTCTACACAGCTGTAATTGACCTTGGCGCGGGTAAGAGGATTCGTGCACATATCTTCCCCTGGTAGCTGAAGATAGTTTCAGCAGCAGAAGAAATAACCCCAAAGAATGGACCTCAAGTCAAACCTTTTTATAGCCTTAATGGTGTTAAAACTACTGTTGTTGTTCAGTCACCAAGTCATGTCTGACTCTTTGCGACCCCATGGACTGCAGCCTGCCTAGCTTCCCTGTCCTTCACTATCTCCCAGAGTTTGCCCAAGTTCATGTCCACTGAGGCGAAGGAAATGGCAACCCACTTCAATATTCCTGCCTGGAGAATCCCATGGACAGAGGAGCCTGGCAGGCTATAGTCCATGGGGGTCACAAAAAGCTGGACATGACTGAAGTGACTTAGCAAGCATGCATGCATGTCCATTGAGTAGGTGATGCTATCCAACTAGTTAAGACTACACAAATAAGCAAAAAACGAGATAACAATGAGTCAGATCACCATACAAATGGCAGAGTATTTTGTTAGTGACATTTAATAGTTACATCACTAGTGATTTTTTTGTGTGTTAAAAGTAAGTCAGCAGTGCTCACAGAAAGTCAAAATGTAAAAATGCCTTTCTTCATCTAATTTCTAAATGTTCAACCTCTTTCTTGTTTTCAAATCATTCAATGACATTGTCAAGCCTATAAAAAGGAATTGGTAGAGATGGAGTATTAACTTGCTTGACAAGGAATATGCTAACATTGATCTGAATAGAAGGTGCTGCAATCTCAATAGAAAAAACTCATTGACGATTATCATCATCTTCATCCTACAACTGTTAACATAGAAGATGTAAAAGTTCTCATGAGATTCTGAAGACTCCCAGTACTGGTTCTGAGATCTGATCCACTTTTCTTTGGGAAGGACAAGGGTGCATGGTTGGAAGTCTTGGGGAAGCCAATGCTGACTGTGTTGGGTTCCTACACTTAATCACAAAGAAGCTTCTTGATCTCTGTAAATTCAGGCCCCAATTCATGTACTCTGAGGAGCTCTATGTTTCTAGGTTAAGAATTATTGTGAAAGTGAAAGTTACTCAGTTGTGTCTGACTCTTTACAACCCCACGGACAGTAGCTCCCAGACTCCTCTATATGGGATTCTCTAGGCAAGAATACTGGAGAAAGTTGCCATTTCTTTCTCCAGGGGATCTTCCCAACCCAGGGATTGAACCCAGGTCTCCTGCATTGCAGGCAGATTCCTTACTGCCTGAACCACCAGGGAAGCCCTTTAGGTGGGCTTAAAAGGAGGCGGGGAAAGAAAATCAAATGGAACTGGGGTGGGCTATATAGGGTAGCCCTCTTAAGGCACAGAGGTTTGTGGTCGACCTAACTTGGCCTGTATTAAGCATCAAAGGAGCGTTTATCCTTTTGAAACTCTTGCAGGCACTTTCAGCTTAGACCTTTTTCGATGGGCACAGATATTTGCTATGAAAACCTTAGCTAGTGATGCAGAATATCAAGGAGGCCACTTATAATTCTGAGCAGCATTCCTGTATCAAAAACTTCAGAAGGGCAGCAATGGAGAAACAGAGAACAGACTTACGGACATGGGGAGAGGGGAGGAGAGGGTGAGGTGCATGGAGGGAGTAACAGGGAAACTTACATCATATGTAAAATAGATAGCCAAGGGGAATTCGCTGGATGTCTCAGGAAACTCAGGAGCCCCTGGTGGCTCAGATGGTAAAGAGTCCGCCTGCAGTGCAGGAGACCTGGGTTCAATCCCTGGGTCAGGAAGATCCCCTGGAGAAAGAAATGGCAACCCACTCCAGTATTCTTGCTTGGAGAATCCCACAAACAGAAGAGTGTGATGGGCTCCATCCATGGGGTGGCAAAGGGTCAGACACAACTGAGTGACTTCACTATCCCTTTCTCAGGAAACTCAAACAGGGACTCTGTATCAACCTAGAGCGGTGGGATGGGGAGGGAGATGAGAGGGAGGTTCAAGAGAGAGGGGATATATGTATACCTATGGCCGATTCAGGGAGAAGGCAATGGCAGCCCACTCCAGTACTCTTGCCTGGAAAATCCCAGGGATGGAGGAGCCTTGTAGGCTGCCGTCTATGGGGTCGCACAGAGTCGGTCACGACTGACGCGACTTAGCAGCAGCAGCAGCATGGCTGATTGATGTGGAGATTTGATAGAAAAGAACAAAATTCTATAAAGCAATTATCCTTCAATTAAAAATAAATTAATAAAAAAAACTTCAGAAGCACCTTGTTTCTGATAGAGAATTGTGAAAGCTAATTATCAAGTGGGCGGTACAAGGCACAAGAGAACAAATAAATCGAAGTTGGTGCAGAAGGTCCCACTTGCTGGATCTCTCTTCTGAGAGGATAATGTCACACCCATTGAGCCCCACACCCGAAGCTTATGAGGAATATGATTGGCTGTGATACTGGCAAAAGGTGATCACCTGGGGGGATGCTGAGAAAGGTGATCGAGGGGAAACAAAGGGCAAACTGTAACTTCTAGGAAGGTCTACAGTGCTGACCTGTTAGAGACTCTATTGCTTGTCCTCACAGTGTCAATGGACACCATCAGAATTCAAAGTCCTTGAGATTACTGATGTTTTCAGTGAAGTGACTAGCACCACAGACCAGGTGCTGGTACCCAGAACTAGCACCTGGTCTGTGGTCGGTAATCAATAATACTTGTTAATAATTATAAAACATTGAAAGATTTGGCAAATCAGACTGGCCTATGAATTTATGCTGTTATTTCTAGGGTTCCAGGAGGCCACAGCTACTAGTGAGGAGTAGCAGGAGTTTGTGAAGAACAGTGCATAGGAGCAGTTCATCCAGATGCCACCGATAGGGGTGCATTGTCTGAAAAGGATTTTAAGACAATAATAAAGCTGATTAAATGTTGGTCTGTGTTCTGTCGTCACAATAAGCCAGCAATCCTAAACAATATGAATGACAAAATATTCCTTTACCAAAAATATTTTTGTTGGCCTAAGGTCTAAGCAATGGCTGAACTTACTGTTGAGTTTTAATAATATATATGTAAGCTTGAAAGCAACATATTTTTATTGCTTTTCCTTTAATAATCATTTTATTCTGCAAAGAAAGTAACTCTGAGAATTCCAAAACCATATCAGCTCACATTTCTCCAACCACTCTGGTACTATGCAGTCTTGCATTTAAACAAAAAGTTTTGAATGAACAATGATTAATTATTACACCATGGTCAAAAAGACAAAAAAAAAAAAAGAACTTGAATGACTTCAATTCTTTACTTTACGTGGCCATATAGCCTTTTGTTCTTTTAAACAATTTTACTGAAGTATAATTTATGCGTAGTAAATGTACTCAAAGTTCAATGAGTCTTGACAAATGAATACAGTCATGAAACCACCACCACAATCATGATATAGGATAGTCCATTACCCTAAAGGTTTCCTTGTGTACTTCCATAAACAATCTCCTCCCTCAAAGTCTGGCCCATGATAATCACTGACCTGCTTTCTATCACCATAGTTTTGCCTTTTCTAGAATTCTCATAATTAGAATCAGGGTAGACAGTTTTTTGTATCCAACTTCTCTCACTTAGCATGAGGTTCACTGTGCTCTTGAGGTTCACTGTGTTGCCTGTGTAGCATTCCATTATATAGATACACCACAATTGCTTGTCCATTCACTAGTTAATGAACATCTGGATTGTTTCTAGCTTTGGACCGTTACAAATAAAGCTGCTATAAACGGTTTAGTGTAAACTTTCATGTGAACATAAGTTTTTATTTTTCCTGTTGTTCAGTTGCCTGGTCATCTACAACTCTTTTCTACCCCCATGGACTGCAGCATGTCAGGCCTCCCTGTCCCTCACCATCTCCCAGAGTTTGCCTAAGTTCATTCCACTGCATAGGTGATGACATCCAGCCATTTCATCCTCTGATGCCCTCTTCTCCTTCTGCCCTCAATCTTTTCCAGCATCAGGGACTTTTCCAGTGAGTTGACTGTTCGTATCAGGTGACCAAAATACTGGAGCTCCAGCTTCAGCATCAGTCCTTCCAGTGAATATTTATTTATTTCTCTTGAGTAGATACTTAAAAATATGGCTACTGGGTCATATTTAGGTTTCACTTTATGAGATAGTACCACGGTGTTTTCCAAAGTGGTGACAGCATTTTGCCTTCCCTCTAGCACGGTATGAGCTCTAGCTGCTCTATACCCTTGCAGTGTCAGACATTTTAACTTCTGTATTTTAGTGACTGTTGCTGCTGGGCGGAAGAGAACTTGGACAAGTGGAAGATGTTGTCACTGTCAGTTACAATCACAATCTTACTGGAAACCATGGCAAATTTCAGGGAAAGAAGTCATGATAAACATGAGGGTGGTGATGGCAACAGTCATGAAGATTTAACAGGAGAAATTTCAAAGTTTAAGAGTCAATTCTGATGAGGCAACTCTT